CTAGCAGAGATTCCTTTATCTTTAGTATGATTTGGAGTGGGTATGTACAAATGCAGGATATAAATCCACCAGATATTCAACCAGAATCCAGAAGATGTCGAGATCCGAAACAGAACTATAGTTACTTTAGGGTCAGAATTGCACCAGAACTACATGGGGCTTATACAAGCAAATATATGCATTTTCTCTGTGTTTACACAAACACACATTCATGTTAAGTTATATACTATAGTTAAAATATTTCTATATAATGCCTAAATATGTGAAGTCAGTTTTTCTCCACTGATGCTTTCAATGTTTGAATAGAACCACAGAGATGTTGCTAAATGACTAAATATCGCATACATGATGAAAAGACCATTTTTTAAATGGTGCCTGAAGAGTCTCACTGTTAAGAGAGATCGTCTACACACACACAACTCTACACACACTCCCACAAAATAATTTGCATATTAGATTACTTTTCCTTAGAAATTTGCTATCAAATCATTCTGAGATACAGAAAATGAGCATAATTCTTTCTACTTAATGGTTTTGGAAGCTAATAAATCTTGAAGTATTTCATATCCTATTTTAGCTAAAATCAACTTTGAAAATTAATGCAAATTATACTTGTTAAATTTGCGAATGGAGTATAATTCTAGGTAATTTAAGAACCACCATACATACTTTCAATTTTAAAAAGTTGCCCGTTAGACAATTTTACAGATATTCAGTGGTTCATATGCCTGTGTCTGCATTTTATTTTAGCCAAAGTACACAATAAGAGCTACAGGCAAAGATGAGATACATGATCTCTAGAGAAAGTTATAAAATTCAAAACGGAATAAATCTGGTCTGTAATTATAATTTTTTACTTTAATAATTATGTAAAATGTTCTCAATTACATAGTAATGAAATCCGCTCAGCAAGTTTAGTTAAACTAAGTTATACACTATAATTTGCAAAGTATTTATGGTGTTTGAACAAATACTGTACTCATTTGAAAAAGTAATCAAATAAAATACTTAAAACAATATTATGAACACATAAGTATATAAAATAATTGAACATGAAATTGTTTACTCCTATGCTTATGTCTGGTTATTAAAAAGCACTGAAAAGGAATAAGTAATTTATATGATAGAATTTTAGTTTTATTTTGAGATTTAGTATTTAAATACTGAAGTATGAAAAACCAATCTTGTTTTCACTTACATTTATTCTATAATATTCCATCTCTAAATGACACATTATTACTTGCAGTTGATGGCAATTTAATTATATCATTAATTTTATTCTTTAAAATATCATTCTATTAATTTTGGTTTTCAATTAAATAACATTAGCAGAAAAACTGCCATTAATGTGACTATCAGTTACTTTGGCACGAAAGTTGTTACAAAGGAAACATGCCTACCATGGTTGTCTCAGCAATAGAGCCAAAGCTGTTTATGAATATGTTGCATGTGACATTAACTGGAGGGCCTGAAAAAGAGATTACAACATAAGGGATATTTAGATACTTATCTAAAATATTTTCAAATAATTTCATGCTTCTCATTAACAGTTTTTTAAAGAAGAATATTTTTTTAATGTATGTATACACACAAATTCTTAAAATTGAAGGCAATCATTCTGTGAAATAATCTGGATTGCAAATCACAAGTTCATGGTCTCCTCTTGAACGCTGATGGTGGTCAGTCATTAATGTCTTGTGGTCTGTTTCCATTATGTAGAGATCTGTAATGGCTCTGTAAATTTAGTAAGTAGATTTAGTAAGTCCAACATCTGAGCCTCTTTAGGGTGTTTCTATTGTTGTTTTCCTCCACTTATGGGCCCTGTTTTCCTGTTTCTTTGCATGTCAGATACCTTTTTTTTTTTAATTGTGTACTTTAGAAAATATGTGTCAACTCTGGAAACCTGACCTCCCGCTTCCAACCTCCAGTGTTTTGTCATTGCTGGTGTTTCTTATTGTTGTTTCTTGTTTAATTACTTGCCTGGACTAACGTTGTAAAGTCTGTATTTCCCTAGAGTGTGCAACCATTGAGGTCTCTGCTCCGAGTGTCCTGGTCAACAAATGATTGTCAGAGATTTCCTTAATGACTTGAACCAGTAAGACTTCCACCTTTTGCCAAGGGACTTCGTGTTTGTTTGGAGGAGTGTCTTTGATGTTCCTGCTTTACCCTTCACTTCCTGCATGCACAGGGTCTCAGGTCAGCCAGGGGTAAGAGACTGGGGCCCTCCTAAGACTTTCCTGGAAATGCATACAGCCCTACATGTACGTGTAACCTCTAGATCCACAAGAACATATCAGAGTTTTACAAAGCTGCCTACAGGCATCTCATTCCCCAGAACTTCTAAATTTTTGTTCGGGCTCTTTTTTGCCCAAGTGGTGATTTCCTGCGATTATTTTTCACAAATGCCCTGGTGATATAATTTTCCCACTGAGGGAGTTCCCAGTCAAACTACAAGTCCCTCTGAATGGTACTCTTTTAGGGAACAGCCAGACAGGTCAAACAGTGACAAAGCTCTGGGAATGGACTTTGTGAGAAACTCCAAACCTGGTCTCCCCTCTAGTAGCTGCTAAACTGCTGGATTTTACAGTTTCTGTGGTGGAGATGTGGCTGGTTTTCAAGGCTACTCGGGACCTGGGGAGTGGGGCCATATTTAAATGCCCTTTGTCTTTAGGAGAAACTCATCAGTTGTCCTTTCATTAGCATCTTATTTACATTGCAGGCTTTTGGTAATTTTTCAGAGTTCTAAAGGTCAATTATGACAGTTTTGCCAGTGGTTTTGTTGCTTTATTTTGAAGTGAATTTACAAAGATCCTCACTCCACCATGCTAGACTTCCCCTGCAGTGCCTGATTTAACATTCATCATAAAACCAAGAATTTTGTTTTATTAGACCTATTAATTCATTTTTTTACTGAATATCTAAAACCTGTGCACACAACATTGAAGAGGACACAAAGAAATTATTGTCTAGCAGGGTAGAAATTAATAAGAATCAGTAAATTATTGACTACTACTTGTTACCACATACTGTGCTGTCTGATTCATAGGTATCACTTAATCCATGAAGCGTTGAGAGTGAAAGCAGCAGTATTAAGTCCTATGCTAAGAGGACTCCTCTGATATGTTTGTATTCTTCCTAAAATGTGGAGCTGGCATCTCACATTGACTAAGGGCTTGAATAGTAAGGCAATGAATAAAATAAGGAAAATAACATGTATCTACAGACAAGTAATGGTCAAAGAAGTGGCCAGTCAAGGCTTCCACCGGTATTTGGGAACTTAATGCCTCATGTTATATGAAAAATTGCAGTCCTTGCCCCTCCAACATGCCTTCAATCAGATGCAAAATGGTCTTAAAAGCAGAAAGTTGGCTTGGTTTCCAAATCTAAATTTCATGTGGTAGTAAAATCTCAAGTCTGAGCTTTATTGTTTAATTCATCATTACCAGATGTGTTCCTCACCTGGTTCTTAGAACTTACATAAGTGCTATTTGGTCCCCATTTGACTACTTATTTCATATATAGTCTCTTCTTCAGCAGAAAGAAAGATGAGTGGATTCAGGCACAAACCTTAATTCCAAAGTTTAAAAATAGAGCAGATGCTTACTTGAAAGATATATACATTTGTATTCATATCAATATTGATATATAGATATTTCACATATATAGAAATCATTTTAAAAAGACATTAGAGTATGAAGCAATTTGGAAATAAAAGCCATTGTTTTTAAAATAGTCTTGGCCCAGATCATGGAATCTTTTCAATGTGACACCAAGGTATTTGAAATTTACTTAATGAACATGAGGGAGCCATTGCAGATTCTTGATCATGGGAGTGTGGTGAACCAAGACAGCATGGTGAATGGTGAAATGGATGGCAAAAGCTTAGAAACAGAGAAAATGGTTAGGAATTTATTGTAATAGTAAAGATGGGAAATAGAATGGCCATGGCCAAGAACAGGGGCAGTGGATAGATATTACAAGGAATGAAATGGATATAATACTATCATGTTTATAAAGCACTGTATTCTACACTGGAAGCTCTGGCCTGTGTCAGATCAGGGCAGCAAATCTTGGAGTAGTCTTTCTACCCTAGCTATTGATATGTATAACCCCAAAATTATGTAGAGAATAAAGCTCTGAGAAGATTGTAAATCTTCTATTGCCACTACAGAGAGCACCTGTCTCAGCAGTCCTTAACCAATCTGCTACTTCTCCCATGCCAGTGCCAAAGCTGTTAGATTCATCTAATACACTGCTCTGTTTAGCAACAGAGCAAATAAGTGCTATAACATCCATATGGCAAATTGTGCTTTTAAAGTGTTCATTACATTAGCCACCGCTGGCCTGAAAAGCAAATAACATTAGTTGCAGATGTTTTTAGCAGCATGTTTTGTTTTGGATGTTTCTTAAAGAAATAGAACATGGCTCTTAAGTTCAAAGATGGATAAAGACAAAATGGCAAAAGAGAATGCAAAACCTTGGTAATTATATTATTGCTCTTCCTACTGGGGAAACTGTTCACCAGGCAGATCGAGAGGAAACAGGGACAAACAATAACCCAAGCATTTATGAAAATGACCCCAAGTAATTTTTAACATAATGTATTAAAGCTACACCCTTTTTAAAAACAGAGCCGAAATTGAAAGATGAACTCTCAAAAAATGTTTAGTGAGTTGTTTTTATTTGGGGTAAGTATATATTTTATGTAATCATGTCACAAAGAAAGATTTTTTTTTTAATTAACAAAAGCATATTTGATGATTTATATCCAGATTTTAAATTACTTGTTAGATACTTGAAAAAGGTTTAAAAATTATGTCATAAAAATAGGATTCAGTTCATTTTTCCCCTTTCTCTTCCCCTTCTGAGTCCCAAAGCCATTTGGTCGAGCAGTGTAAATAAGTCTTCCATGCTGGGGTGGCTACAGCAGGGCGTGCGTGATAACCTACGGCAGGATGAGGCCATCCGTGGAGAAGGGTTACATGGCACAGGGTGTCGGGGCCAGCGAGTGAGAAGAATACTGCCAGAGGAGGGCAGCCTGGTGTTGGTTATTGGAACAGAGAAGAGTGAGGAAAGTGTTTACATGGGGCATCTTGGCCTGGGGAGTCAGGCTGAAAAGGGCCCTTGTGCCGGAGAGGTAGCAGCAGCAGACAAGGGACATTCATTACATATTGATCAATATAGAATTATATAAAATATAATGGGAGCCATGTTTTTTACTGTCAGATGAGGAAGTTAAAATATAGAAGGTCAGAAATTAGAATAAACCTACGGAGCCTGGCCGGGCGTGGCTCAGCTGTTAAGCATCGACCTAGGATCCAGGCAATCGGGGTTCGATTCCTGGTCAGGGCACATGCCCGGGTTGCGGGCTGCAGCCGATCAATGACTCTCTCATCATTGATGTTTCTATCTCTCTCTCTCCCTCTCCTTTCCTCTCTCTGAAATCAATAAAGATATATAAAAGAAAGAAAGAAAGAAAGAAAAAAAGGATAAACCTATGGAATTGAAAATATCAATGTGAGTTCATGGTTTTCAACAGATAGAGAAGTAAATATCTAGATGTAAATAATATATATGAATACACACATATATGTGCTTGTTTGTATATATATGTGTGTGTGTTTATGTATATAATAAAGATATATCCTGGCAAACACCAACTTAACCAATTAATCAAAGTAAGTATCACCAGAATGGCAAAAATTAAGATGGTACACCATCTGGTAAGATGCAATCCGAACATAGCATCACTTCTGTGATATATCTGTCAAGATGTATTACCTAAACTGAATCATGAGGAAACATTAGATCAATGCAAATTGAGGTATATTCTGTTAAATAAATGGATAATAATATTCTTTAAATGCCTAGATCATGACAGTCATAGAAAGAATGATCTTCTGATTCAGACAGAAGGAGACAATAATAAATGACAAATACAACACAAGATGTATTGTATTTGTAAACTGCATCATTTTACTATGAGGCCATTATTCAGAAAATTGATAACATTTGAATAGGGGTACACACATTAGATGGTAGCAATATAACCACGTTAATTTGCTTATTTCAATAGTTAGGTGCTGGTTATTTAGGAGAATGTTCTTATTTGTATGATACACTCAAGTATGGGAGCATCAAGTGAACAACTTACTTTCAAGGACTTTGGGGGGGAAATTGCTAACTGCTATACTTGCAAATCTTCTGCTAGTTTGAGACTGTTTTGAAATGAAAAAGAAATAACTACTACAGGAACAATACACTAAAAATAAAAATCAAAGAAAACCCAAAAATACAGAAAGCAGAATCTAAGTCTGTGAATATTTCAGGTGAACATCTATAATTTTAGAAAGTCTTATTAAATGAAGAGATTCTTCTTGGTAAAATGACCTTGTATTATGTAAAAATTCAAGAAGAAGATATACCTTTAAAAAATAATTGTGAATTTTATTCAAGAACAACAGTGTCTGGATGGATAGGAATAATTAAAATGGATTAAGGAAATGCTAACACTTTCCCTGAAAATAAAAAACCAACACAGGCAGAAAATGAGTATTAAGTGCACTTGCCATTCTGGGGATAGAGTGTGGTTTAGCAGAAATGGCTATTTAAAAACTGAATTTGTGATGTGGGAGAAAGGGATTAATATAGGAAACTATTACAGATGAAAAGACAGAAACCACAAAGACACTGCAAGGCAAACAATGTTATTTCTAGATAAAGGCCACTGGAGACAGAATGGGGGAAAAAATGCAATCAGTGTTTGGGAGAAAGACATAATCAGGTAATTGCTAAGAGAGTACTTTCTGCCTGGATCCAAATTAGACTCAAGGGTTATCAAAGGCCAACTGAGGGCCCAAACAATAGGGTCAAAGGAAAGAAGTAAAATCCAGAAAAAGCTGGTAAAGTAGTCTGGTGAAATATTTTATCGTCTATAGATGTACTTTGCAGGCTTCTAATACCAAATGACTCCGGAAGCTTCTATTTCAAGAAGGGGACTGAACAGTTTTCTTTCTCTCTAAAGACATAAAAATGATGTTACCAAATAAAAGTGAAACCAAACATCTCACACTAAAGAGAGTGGGAGGAAATTCATCATCAGATTAATGACAAAATATAAAAGGAAGAAGAAAACAGAGCAAAGCCTAAAACAAACGTAGGTTGGGGCTACTTGAAGAAGGGAGCTAATATGCTAGGAATGACCCAGGGATCTTGACATTTTTGTCTGATTTATTTTGCTTAGCCTGATATTCCCAAGATCCACCCATGTTGTCACAAATGGCAGTATTTCATCTCTTCTTATGGCTGAGGAATATTCCATTGTATATATGTGCCACTTCGTGTTGATCCAATCATCTTTGATGGGCACTTAGGTTGCTTCCATATCTTATCTGCTATGGCAGTGAACATAGGGGTGTACATATCTTTGTGCATAAATGTTTTCAAATTTTTCAGGTAGAAATAGGCACTTTCGATTTCATTTCTGTGTGGGATATGCCTGAAAGCAACAAATGAACAAACAAGACAAATCAACAAACAAAAACTCATAGACACAGACAACAGTGTGGTGGTGACCAGAGTGAAGGGGGGGAGAGTAATAAAGGGGAAAGGGAGCCAAACATATGGTGACAGAAGAAGATTTGACTTTGGGTTGTAGGCACATAATGCAATATACAGATGATGTATCATAGAATTGCACACTTGAAACCTATATAATTTTATTAACCATTATCACACTAATAAATTTAATAATAAAAAAAAAATGACTCAGGGAAGCACAAAGCTTAAGGTCATCTATGGGAAGGAGGTGGGCAGTTGGAAGGGCCTGTCGAGAGAAACACAGGCACCTGCCTCAGAAAGCTCCCTGATTCCCATCTATATTCCTGTAGAGCAAGGGCAACCTGGGGATAGCCCTGTAGAATTTTTGAATGAATGGAAATAATTTTTTGTTTTTAGTTTTGCACACACAGTTGGTCAAGGTGACTGGAAACAGTATGGTTCTGTTCATCAATGCTGACTTTTGTCTTCTTTTTCTAACTGTATTGAGATACAGTTGACATATCAGATTGTGCAAGTTTAAGGTGCACAACATGTTGATTTGATACACTTATGCATCACGATATGATTGCACCAAAGCATCAGCCAACACCTCCATCACAGCACATGCTCACTATTTCTTTTTTGCAGTGAGAACATTTAATCTCCACTTTTAGCAACTTGCAGGCATATAATAAAGTATTGTTAACTGTAGTCACAGTGCTGTGCATTAGATTCTCAGAACTTGCTCATCTTCTGTTTGCAAGAAGTTAAAAAAAAGCAAGGGAAATAACTTTTTTGATTGGGAAAAACAGGGTCCCCGACAGTACCTCAAAACTAAATCCTTCTCTGTTTGGGCATCTGGAGGACCTCTAACGAAAGCCTAGTCAACACTCACCACTCACTGAAAACAGTGTTCTGGCCAAGGCAATGATGGCTCTGTCAGATTTTCCTTTCCAGAGAGAGAAATAGCAGAAAACCACACACACACACACACACACACACACGCACACACGCACACACGCACACACGCACGCACGCGCTACACCAATCTCGGCGCCCAGGCAAATCAACTCAATCCTTCCTGAACTGTAGACTGTTTTTCTCACATATAAGAAAACTGGAGGCTTAAAGAGAGATAAGAAGAATTAACATAATTGTTCCTGCAGGAAAAAAAGAGAAATGATTGCTCAGAAAGGGGAAACAGAAGAAGTGGAATGTAAGAATGGAGACATTAAATTGGCAGTGCAAAGGAATCTCATAGTGTCTGTAAGAGGCCTAGAAAGTGACCAAAAAGATTTCACCAGAAGTAACCAATTTTACTTTTGGAGTGTTTGCCTTAAAGAAGTAGAACTGTGCATAAAGATTGTCAAGGCAAGGAGCTGCTGCTTTTCATCACTAATATTTTTAGACAATTTAATGTTTGCCAAGTTCAGGTATGTGTTTTTTACTATTGTTATAAATAAAACAAACAGCTAAGCATACAAAATAGCAACCTGTGATACCACCTCTGTGACTTCACATTCAAGGAAAATGGTTTAGGATAAAGAGGACTGTGAAGAGATCATAATACTATTACAGAATTAAAATGCTCCTAAACATTTTAAAAGTATACAGATAATACTACATGATGTTCAAAGGTGAAAGAGGACAACCTGAACAATCTTAACTCTAGAGAGAACAAACAAGAGTGAAGGGTATGAGTGGGAGTGTGTTAGATATAGATTATAGAAGAAATCAGATATTTTTAAAAGAGAAGGAGAATTGTTTTGGAGAATGGCACAATGCCAGCATAAGCAATAATTTTATTAAGGATAAATGTTTGTAGGAGGGTACTGCTTTTCCTCAATTTGTAAAAGATCCTTGTAATGCTGAAATTTCTCATTTTTATTTGAATATGATACCCCTTGAAACTGTACTGGTTGTTTTTTTTTTACAGCTTGCATTTAGTGTTTTCTTCCTTTGCAGTTAAAAATGTTAGGGGTCAAAATGCTTAAAAACAAATGAATAAATGAAATTCACAATTTAAATGTTAAACTCACTTTTAAAATGAAGCAATTCATAATTTTCTACCCCTATATTATCAACAAATTTTACTCTTCTTTTTTCTCCTGCTACCCATTATTGATTGGTATTTATTAGTTCTCTCTAATTCTTATAACATTGTTAAACAATCATTTTTTTATCCCATAAGAATAAATTCAATAAAAAAGAAAAAAGCATTATTGTAGAAAATATTTTTGTCTTTTTTTTGGTTTGGTTTGGTTTGGGTTTTTGTTGTTTTCACCTTTAGGAGTGAAAATAACTGAATCCCATCGCAAAGGTGTTTATTCTTATAACTTAATTATTTTTAATTAAATAAAATAATATTCAAGAGACATTAAATAAGTGGGGGCATGAAAACAGCTTTCTAATCTTTTACCATAGATTAAGTTACAGGACGTATTATTGTTCTGGATTATCCACATATAACTTGTATAAATATGTTATCCCTATACTAAACAGAAAACTGGTAAAGAGTACTCAAGTTGATAATTACACTCTTTCCTATAAATTTAAGTAAAACAGTTGGTAGGTAGAATAATTTCTTAAATGTTATCAGTGGCTTTTAGTTATCCAAACCTTTCCCCAGTACATAAATTCAACACAATACAGGAAATCCTGCTATGGAGGATTTAAAATATGGGGAGGTTTATTGTCAGCTCCAAGGAAGCTTTTATTCCAGTTACTGAGAATATATTCTGAAATAAGCATCAGAATTGTTGGTGGAATCAATTTTTTTAAATGTATCATGTTTAATCATATTTTAAACACATTTTATATATAGTAGAAAGCAGAACAATTACCTTTAAAATTGGGTCTGATTCTTGCATCATACCCTGATGTCCTCCCCATTAACTTATCCAGAAAGTCAGACGGTGACATTGGAGCACTTCGAGATCTTGCACTATCTGTTTCCTTTGTTGCAACCAAACTATGAATGAGAAAAAACATAGATGTTACCAAAAAAATTTTTCCTAACTGTCACCTAGAAATATAAAATTAATATGCTAAGCAAAAATACCTCTGAAAACAAAACAAAAAGCTTGAGGAGAAACAAGATGGTAGTGTAAGTAATAGCTGCACCCGCCGCCTCCCACAACCACATCAAAATTACAACTAAAATCCAGAACCACCATCACTCAGAGCCTCCTGAGACCTGGCTGAACAGAAGCCCCACAACCAGGGAGCTGAGGAAGCACCGAGACCGGGAGGAGGGGCGGAGACGCGGGCGGATCGGGGCTGAATCGCGGAGACACCGGCTCGAGCCCACAACTGGTGCCACGGTTTAAGCCAGGAGGGCATCTTGGTGGCGGAGGTTTACCAGAGGAGGGAGGGGTCCCAGCCCCACAGCAGGCCCCCAGCCCAGGGCTCCAGGCCGGGAAGAGACGTCCCCACAACTCCGGGCTGTGAAACCAGCGGGGACTGTCCCTGAGGGTCGCGGAGGCTGCGGGAGCCCCAGCAGCTCCTCTAAAGGGCCCGGCACGGACTCACTCGGACGCTCCCTCTGAGCCCAGCGCCGGGCAGCAGCCTGAAAGG